TGAGCTGCGCTTGAGGTATGGGATAAAACTCTACCGATAATACCAGCGGAGAGACCATATTGAAGTGGCCGGTGAGGAGATGACCAACCCGTATGTGAGGTTGCCTGATTTTCTTTTATGTGTTCCCCCTTTGTGAAAATTGATTGAGATTGAACTGTTGGACGGGACATATTTCTAAGTCTATCCCCCCCCCCCATCTACGTCCGCACGAGTGAGAGATGATCGGAAGGAAGGAGGATAGAGGTCAATTGGAATGGAACCAAGAGAAAGAATGTGGGCAAATGGATGGCCGACCGAGGGAATTATGGGAAGGAGGTACTTAGGAATGGGGAGGTAAAATAGGGAGACCTTGATAAGGGGTCTGAAATAATTCTCATCTAGGACAAGTGTTGACCTGACCAAAAGGATCGGTTGGTGCCTTTTTATGAAAACAGGGGTCGGGTGCTGAAAACAAGATGGCGCGATGGTTGCCTTGCCCGATCTATACTAGCGGTCCGGAAATGCCAGTAGATGTAAAGGATGGGGTATCGGTCGTCCTCCCGGAAAATGAAACGTGAACGGACCTTGAACCAGTGTATCAAACGGTAATGCTGGAAGGAGAGGATGCTTTCTTTTGGATAGAAACAATATGGACTAATGTCAGGTTGACGAGGTTATCACCAAGTTTAATGGATTTGGAATTCCGAGGGACAGTGGAAGCCCGAGGGTGGGTCTACTTGTCGCAAGATGGGGAGAAAGCTATGATCATAGAGTGAACACTCAGGAATACACCGGACGAGTTGTTTAGGAAGGCAGAAGCAGAGGTTGTGTGGGTTGCATGTCAACGGAGGGAAATGGAAATGGAAAAGGTAGACGTACGGGTGAAACTTGGGGATAGAGGAAGCATGAGGCGATCCGTAAGAACCATGCGATGTGTGCTGCCCTCCTTCCTAGTGGATGCGGTTTTCGGAACCCGGAGCAGGCTAGTGCGAATATGCCAGTCCATGACGAACCTCGAGCTATACCAATGCGCTAGGCAAATTTTTTTTCGGTTATCAGTAGAGATGGGGCCGTTCGAGGGAAACTGGGCGGAAGAGTTGGCCGAGATACTAAACTCCCTTAGCATAGACAATATCTTTGTCCCTAGCGTTGTGTATTGGGGGATAGTCTACAAGAATGTGGCAATGGGGGAGACATTTCTAGATGGGGTAAGGGAGTTGGTGTACGACGAGGAGGACGACTTCAGTGATGGAGATGAAGATTAAGAGATAGAGGACTGAGACTTCTAAGAAGGAAGAGGTGACTTAATTTAGGAAGGACGGGTGACCTGGTATTGTGCAGGAAAGGGGAAGATGACTAGAGAAGAGATGATGATGGAGTACACCTTCAAGGGATGGGAACCAAGGCGACTCAGAGGGGGGGTAGAGATGCCTTTATTAACAAAAAATGAATGGAGAGGGACCACGTGCGACTGGATTGGGTTTGAGGTTGCCTGGGACTTGTCATATATATGGATAGAGCGGATTTGGAACCCGATAAGGGAAGAGGAAGGTTGGGATGATATAGCAGAAGGCAAGGTAGAGTCAGTTGGAACGATTGTCCTTTCCGAGGAAGGGTGACACCTGTTTTGCACTATGTTAGCAATGGGACAGGACCCGGCGTGGCTTCTAGGGGATGCAGAGGCCCGAACCCGAAAGGAAGACAAGCGGTTCGCCAACGAGGGATGGGACGAGGTTAGTAGCAGAGTTGTGATGGGAGGATGGAAGGAACTTAAGCCTCAAAGTCTACGGATAACGGCTTGGGTACCGGAGTTCGTAGCCGAGTGGTTTGGAGGGTTTGAACACATTTCGGAAGTAGTCGACTCCATGAGAAAGGTGCATATAGAGTGTGTTTGGCTGACTGAGGAGTTTTATAGGCTCTCGTTGAAATATGGGCCCTTCTATAGAGATAAAGTCGGTGAGGTCATCACCATCCTGAGGATAGGTAAATACGACCGCCTAGAGGTAAGCGCGGAAACCTGGGACGTCATAGTTAGCCGGGAGGCAGCGGCCGCGCCATCCTATGTAGACGATGTCTTTATGCTATTTGAGGTGCGGTGGTTTGATTAAAGGGACTCAAAGTTCGAACGCCACGGGAAGAACAAAGTGTGGAAGGTGCATGTGAATTAGGATGTAACATAAGAGAGGGGGATGTACATTAGTCAGCAGGGGATGCAAGGAGGCCGAAACAAAAGGCAGGCATGGAGACGGGATAGCGGCAAGAACCAGTGTACGATAAGTAGGGGGGTTGAAAGACTAAAACATGAAAGGCATGAAATCTCGGTGGTTGCAGCAATCGGACTAAGAAAGCAGGAAATGAGACATTGCGAGATGGCCCGACGAATGACGTTCTGGGAGGATATACCTCGTGGGATCCTGCCACCAAGAATATCAGAAGGCAGGGCCGAAATAAGCCTGCCGGCAAGAAATACGATAGGCAATCCGGTAATGGACTGGGTGGGGATAAAGTTCGTGGAAGATACGGTGTATCTAGTAGTGAAGCTGGAATGGCGTGCGAGAGGGGAGTTCGAAGGCGTAGACTTGAACCGCCCAGGGCGTGTACATGCGACGGGATCCTTACACCTGGCGGAAGAGGGATGACAAACCTTTGGGATTGCTTTGGCTTCCGGGGATGACCCCGTACGAATGTTCGAAAGGGCATGGCAAATAACCTGGCGGGAGGGGTTTGAGTTTGCAGACCCGGAACGAGATGACATAACGGCGGAGGTAAAAGTCGCCGCGGCGGGGGTTTTCGAGCTGCCAAATGAGGTTATACGGATGAGTCTACCACCCTTTCTGCTGAGACGAATGGGAGGCATAGAACGAGTGGAGCAGGCGGTGACTGTCGTAACTAGGCTAAATTTTGACGAAGCATTAATGTATCGAGAATACTATCGGGCCTTCCTAGAGATGGGGCCTTTCGGGGACGAACAAGGGCGCGAGGTGCTTTGCATTCTACGAGCAGCGATGAATACTAGGCCAGGAGTCCCGCAAATAAGTGATGAGACCATGTGGAGATTCATCCGGGGAGAGGTAGGTCGGGGCGCGACCTACATAGATGATCTCTACCGACTGTACGAACAGCCAGAGGAGGCTACTACTCCCGGGGGTATAGAGGGATAGTTAGGACTAGAAAAGGGAAATGAAAACATGAAGGGCAAGGGAGGCATTAGGTGGGCGGATTCTGAAGATTGGCTGTAACCTTTTCTATGTGGACTATGCAGGGAATCACCAAGGTAACAATGGCAGCAAGACGTGAGCGAATGGAATGTCAGCCCCGTGTGCGAATGGAACGCCAGCCCCGGTACCCCGGACCGCCCTAGAACGACGGTGGCCCATGGGAAGTATCCCTCCCGTCGAGTTCTACCTATTGGGGGTTCGACGTAGAATGGCGGGCCGTGACTTTGGGAAGGGACGCCGCCTTCATGTTGGTAGAATGTCGGTGGACAGGGATGAGACTCAACCGAGGACCCGGAGACGATCTGTTCTCCAATCTGGAGGTTACCGGAACCATGTATCTACCTGAGATCGGCTGACATTCGTTGGGGGTAGAGATAACACAAGGTCACGAGTTGGCACCGGTCTTTCAAAGGGTCGCCCGGACGTTGACCCGGATAGGACATTCGGTCAGGGGAAGAAGGAACGTGGGCTTGCTAACCCGGGTGGAAATGAGAGGTTGGAGGGAGTTCAGGGCACCGACCACACCGCTGAGATGTCGAGTGCCCTGTTTTATGATAGACCTCGTCTTCGGAAGCCTCGCAAGGGCGCGGGAGCTGGCAGACTCAGCGATAGTCTGGGCAGGCCACTTTCCCTCCCCTACCATTGGGATATTCTACGATGTCGCTGTGGAGCATGGACCGTTCTGGGGAAACAGGGCCCACGAATTACTAGAAGTCATCCACATCCTGATGTTTTGTGCGCCCCGGTTAGACTGGACAGGGTGCGAACACATAATCCAAAGGGAAATCAAGATAGGGAAGAATTATCTAACGAGGGTGGCTCAACTATTCGAGGAGTCTACCGAACCAGAAGAGCCGCGAGGGCGAGAGTGGGATTAGCATCCGAAGGCGGGTCAATAGGGCAGATCGAGTATAGTTCGTTGCGTACGAAAGTTCGCCGATGGGAATAAAAAAAAGGGGCCTCGGACGAGGATGGCTAAAACCCACTAAAAAAACAAAGAAGGGGGGGGTCAGACTCCTAATGATTGACCATAACCCTGAAGGTCAAAAACGGGAAACGCTAGTCAGGAAGACTTCCCCTAGCAGGATGCCTAACCCGGACTCCCTTGCGTCGACCGACGGGATAAGGGCACTACAAACGAGCGTGTGATAAAGGAGGCCCAGTCACGTTCATAACTCGGCTGGGCGGCAGGGCCAGTCGTGGCTCCTCCTTAAGGAAGGGCAATCAAAAAACAGGGATAGGAAAGGAGGCTATAAAGGTAAGTCAACAGAGTTGGGACCCTAGGGAACCTAAATACCTCGCATTGCGTGTGTCCTGGGAATTCTTTGGCTTATGCAGAACTAGGCAAAATGGCAACGGAGGAGGAGACAGATAACCGTAAAAGTGAAGGAGAACCAGGCTTAGAAGGCAGTGCCGCACAAAGCGAAGGGGGGCAGAAGGATAGAGAATCGATAAATCCGGATGGTACCAAAGGAAACCGGAAGGAAATCTCCACAGGAGAAAGCTCGGGGAAAGCCGGGGGAAGCAGGCAAGGGACCCAGGGGACCAAGGAAGGCATAAATAAGGATAGGACAAGCCCCCGAAACTCGGAAGGAGCCATGCCTAAGAAAGTAAGGGTCACAGACACGAGGCACAAACTAGCCGAAATAGACAAGAGGACCGCGGAATACAAGGCAAGATTGATTGAGGAAATGATGACTGGGAACGAAGAAGGTCCTCTGCAGGAGGAGACCCGGGACGAACGGAAAGCCAGCCAAGGTGGGACTGGATAAGGGGATAAAGGTAGTGACCGTTGGGGAACGCCGAGTAAGAGAAGAAAAGAGAGAGAGAACTCTCCGGGGATGGAAGCGGAAAAGGCTATGACTCCGCCAACCATGGATAATAGGGTTAACCGCCTGCCGATCACACCAGCAGTAGCGCGAGGATGCGAAGGACTTTGGAGCCTTAGGGAAAGAGTGTTGGGATGGTTTGACCCGGAAGGAACTATGAAAACCAGGGAGGGACAGAAGACCAGCAAGGAAAGTCCGGATAACAGTGTGGCAAGCGAGGCCAGCAGCTCCGAGGGCGGCCTTAAGAAGATAGTGTCGTCCCTTGCGCGAGCACTAAACAAAAATCAAGGCTATCTGGCAGACGCCAAGAAAAAGCTGACTTTCAATGGAGCAAACATCACGGAGTTCCTGATCGAATACGAGAACCTAGCTGCGTTACTAAAGTGGACCGAGGAGGAAAAGATGGACCATCTAGGACAGCATGTGTCGTTAAGCCTAGGACGGGACATAATGGTCATTGTAGCCGCAAGCCGGTCTTCGAAGGAGACCGGGGATGTGATGATGAGGAAGTACCTAGCGGCAGAGAAAATGGCAACGGAGGCCGACCTAGCGGCAGTTCAGAGGAAAAACTTCGCAACGTACAATGATTTCCTACGGGAATTTACTCTGGTAGCACTAAGGATCCCGGGGGTCACGGACCGGATAATGAGCAAATATTTCCTTAGGCAGTTCTCTGAGTTCGACAAAGACAAGATCCTGTCAGCTTACCAACAGACGAGCAAGTTGGTAAACACGCGGGATGTTGATTTTAGTACGGTAACGGATCTGGCTGAGAAAACGGTAGTAACGGAGACGTTGGCCTTGGTCAAGGAAGGAGAGATCAGAGATCTGACCGGTAGGACGGGTGACAAGGTAAAGAAGGGGATTGAAAGTCTACATGAACGGGTGCACGGGGTCGACAATAAGATTGAGAGGATGGAAGGCGCGCTACTGGTTATGCAGGCGCAAGTATCCCGACCTGCCCTCTCTCCCCAGGAAGTTGTGGTTCCGCTAGGTGTAGCAAACCGAGGATTCGGACGGAGAGATCCTGTGAACGAGCAATGCAAGTACTGTACCTCGATAGGACATTATGTGCGCGCGTGCCCAAAGCTCAACCATGATATTCTGAAAAGAAGGTGTACCAGGTCATTAAAGGGGGAGATATTTGGGTCACAAGGGGAACGGGTGAACTGGAACTCACCAGGAGGGATGCGGCGAGCCATTATCCTGCTCAACGGATTAGAAATAACAGTCGTAGAAGCCGAACTGGTGGGTGAGATCATCTGGGATCAACTCCGGGGGGGCGGACCCCAGGCCAACTTCATTTTGGGAAGCGACGGACGTGATAGGGTGAACGCAACCACTCGACTGGGAACGGCCGGGAGAGGGATTAACCGTGACACCATTATAGAGGAGGTCGTTGGAAGCTCCGAACCCCAGGCGGAGCCTGAGGCCGAGGAACCAAAGAAAGTCTATGGGAAGCCTAGGGAAGAGGAGCCTGCGAACAAGGTTACCGCCGCTAAGAAGAAGTTTAGGTATCAAATCCCGATCTTAACCTTTCCTGAGCTCGACGACACCATTAGCAAGTTACTAGGAACCATGGTGTCGGTATCTTTTCAGGCCATACTGTAGGCTAGCCCTAGGTTGCTCAAAGGGCTCAGACATCTGTCGACTCGGAGGCGAGTAGAAATAGGCGACGACCCCGAATTGCCAGAAGGGGAGAGGGAGGAGGAAGCTCCGCAAGAAGTAGCTAACCTTCAAAGGAGTCACGGGGACTTTGAGGATCTCGAAAAGGCCTTTGCAGACATTCGTTTGAGCTTGCCCGACCGAGAGGGCGGCGAAGTCATGATATCACCACCCGGGACGAAGCTTAGCTTTCATGCGCTAACCGTAGGGAAATTGAAAATCCAGATCGGGAGTCATCACACCGACGCATTAGTAGATGGGGGAGCAGAAATCACTCTAATAAGGAGAGATTTCGCAACGATCATGAGATGTACGGTAAACAAGGAAGTAACAGGGAGCATCCGGGGAGCTGGCGGGGAGATTCCGTTCGCCGGGTACATCACGAAGTGTGCTGTGAAGGCAGGGGTCAGGGAATCGATCTTGTCGTTTCAGCGGATGACCGTAATGGAGGAAATGGACCACGACATAATCCTCGGGAGACCGTGGTGCGTGAACGTAGAGATGATAGGCATGCACTTGCATGATGGCTCGTACATGGTAGACATAGAGGACCCTGTGACCAGCTGGGGAGAGCTCCTCCAACTCCTTGGAACGGGAGGAGATCCCCCAAAGGGGAAATTGGCAACATGGTCGCCGTCGTTCGAGGATAGCACGCGAAAAGGGGCTTTCGCACGGATGGAGGATATGAGAGAAAAGGTAGAAATCATGATTGAGGAGGCATTCAACAAGAAGGAGTGGATCAAGATGGGCCTGCCCCAGAAGAAGAGGAGGCAGGAGGACGAAGTCCTAGGTGTTATGGTAGCGGAAAAGGAGTCAGAGGTCGAACTTGGTGCTAACCTGCCCAAACGGAAAAAAGTACGCATAGACGTGCCAGAAGTCGCACTTGAGATCCCCGATCTATTGCAACTCATCAAGGCCCTCAAATACCACAAGGTAGGAGTGGATTCGGCAACCTTGGCCAAGTTCGAAAGAGAGGTGCAAAAGGGATATTGCCTGAATGGGAAACTAGTTAGTATTCAACCACGAGTCGTAGAGGCGGCAGGGGCAATTCCGACTGTTCATTTCTTAGGAGAAAGATCCCGGAAGGAAGTGTTCGAAAGTACAAGCTGGTAGGGAAGAAAGCGAAACCGGCCTCGATCCTCCTAGAGACATCAAAGGAAGAGGCTATGGAGAAGGAGGAAGAGGTCCTTCGAGTGATCCGAGAAAGAAGGGCAAAGGAGGGACATCGAATACCAGATGAGGTAGCTGACATAATGAAGATAGGGATAGACGGGTTCTTAACGGAAGAAGAAACCCGCCTGATCAAAAGGACCTGCCAGGAGTTTCACCTGACATTTGCATTTAGTGATCACCAAAAGGGACGACTGGATGCGAAGTTGATCCCTCCTGTCAGAATCCACACGGTAGAACATGAGTGTTGGAATGACAAGGAGCCATCCTATGAATTTGGGATAGCAGGAGAAGTGACAGACCTCCTCCGAGCAAAGATGGACTCCTTCGTTGCGGAACCTACGGCATCGCCATACGCAAATCGGTGGTTCGTCTTTCGGAAGCCTAACAAGACACTAAGGTGGATTCACGACGTGCATAAGTTGAATGCGGTAACCATCCGGGATGCTGGCTCGCTACCTCAGGCTGACTTATTAGCAGAATCGCTCGCCGGTCGGAGCATTTACTCCCTGATAGATTTGTACTCGGGGTATGACCAGCTTCTGTTGGATGTTCGGGACAGGCCATACACCACTATGCACACCCCCGTAGGCCAACTACAGATGCAAGTGACCCCTATGGGATTCACAAACGCGGTGGCCGAAGCGCAACGCAGGATGCTCGCCGTGGCCGGGGACATGTTCCCAGAAAAATGTGAGCCTTACATCGATGACAATCCGATCAAAGGCGCGCAGGAGAAGGACGAGACGGAAATCCAGCCAGGGGTCCGACATTTTGTGTGGGACCACCTGCAGGACATCAAGGACTTACTCCGTCGGTTCCTAGTATACAACATTACGGCTAATGGACCGAAGAGTATCCTAGCAGTACCAGAGGTAACTATACTAGGATTTCGTTGCAGTGCTTACGGCAGGAAGCCAGATCCGGCAAAGACCGACAAGATATCACAGTGGCCGACACCGATGCGCATGACAACGGAGGTAAGGGCATTCCTAGGCGTAGTCGGCTTTTGGAGGATCTTCATTAAGAACTTTGCCAAGATTGTTGAGCCTATCTGAACTATGATCAGGGAGGAAGGAACCATGGATTGGACGGAGGAACGAGAAGGAGTTGTCCAAGGACTCAAGGACATATTGACATCTGAGACAGTCGCCTTGTCTGCGCCTTGTTTTAATGACGAAGTAGGACGACCCTTCATCCTAGAGACGGATGGGGGACCTTTGGCCGTAGGAGGTGTGTTGATTCAAAGGGATGAGCGAGGAAAAGAGAGGCCAATTAGGTTCGAAAGTAGAACCCTGAATTCCGCAGAACGGCGGTATTCTCAATTCAAGAAGGAAGTTCTAGCCATCCTGCATTGCCTTAAGACCTTTCAAACCTATCTATTTGGGAGGCGGTTCATCTTAAGGATCGATCCGACGAATGTCGCAGGGGCTCTAAAGAATTACAGGCCTATAGATCCGACGGTGGGGAGATGGGTAGGATTTATTTGGCAGTTCGATTATAAGATCGAACGGATTGCGGGAATTAGGAACAAGGCTGATGGGCTGAGCCGGGTCTGCATCACTCCCGAAGGGGTGGAGGATGCGGAACCCATAGACGCGTTCCTCGAATACGAAGGAGGAACTCTTGCGGTGGATAACGAAATGATGAGCGGGGAATGCACATCGGGAGAACTATTGATCCAGACTTTGGAGAAGGGGGCACCTGCCGTAGTAGCAGAACTTAGAGAAGGACCAGTCACCACTCGAGGACACAGAGAAGAAAAGGACTCATGGGGAGCGATAGTAAGACCGAAAGAGGAGTTAATAGCAATGACGGTCGAAGGAGGCCGGGAAGCAGTGATGAGCTTAGTGGAATCTTGGGAAAGGAAAGAGTTGCAATGGGTGGTAAATCAGATGCAGGAAGGAAAGGATGGGGGCAAGGAAGGAGAGGAGTTTTTCTATGTCCAATCATACGAAGGGCTCTTTCGGGAGATCGGGTTGTTGTTGGTAGGAAACAAACAACCTACCGAAGTCAGTATTAAGGCAAGAGAAGAAACCGAAACGTACGTTCTAAGGGGCGGGCATTTATTCCGAAGAGAGGAAGGTGCTATGCCCAGAAGGGTTGTGTGCGGAAGATCTAGGCAAGTAGACGTTATCCAGGCAATGCACGACGGGTTAGCTGGAGGTCATTGGTCGTCCAAAGGAACACTTGCAAAGATAACGCCGCTCTATTATTGGCCACGCATGGCAGGCATGGTCGCCGTATACTGCCAGACTTGCCTTATTTGCCAAGAACGAAGCTCGGTACGAGTCTTCGAGCCGCTTAGACCAACGCCGGTGCTAGGGGCGGGACATCTGGTCCACCTCGACCTTGCGGTCATGCCTGTATCAACGGATGGGTACAGGTATATCCTGGATGCATGAGACAACTTGAGTGGGTTCGTGGAGGCAGTCACCCTTAAGAAAAAGACAGGGAGGAGTGTGGCGGACTGGATAGAAGACTTCTACTTAAGGCATCCGTTCATCAGGAGGTTTATAGTAGACAATGAGACGGAGTTTGTAAACCAAGAAGTATTGGGGATGCTTAAGAGACTCTGCGTACCAATCAAACTCATTGAGTCGTATCACCCTGAGGCCAATGCACCTGTGGAAAAGGAGCACCGAACCTTGAAGAACACGATTGCAAAGCTCACAGCGGACCATCTGGAGAACTGGCCTAGGTATCTTAAGCAGGCTGTCTTTGCGGAGAATATGACCCCTAAAAGGACAACGGGATGTATCCCGACATAACTTTGGTACGGAAGAGAGGTCGATTTTCCTGTGGAAGCCTTGGTACCTACCTGGAATAGGGTAGATGATGATCCGCAAATGACCATTGAAGAGTTAATCGAGGCAAGATGTCAACAAATCCTTAAGAATGAGGAGGTCATGGAAGACATCGCCAACCGGGTGTTGGACAGCAGAATGAGGGACAAAGCAAGGTGGGACCAGGTTAAGAATGTTAGAAAGGAGCCACTTCAGGTGGGGGAGATGGTATTGCTAAGGAACTCGGCACTAGAAAGTACTTGGTCGGGACAACTGGGAAAGAGGTTCAAAGGCCCCTACCGGGTCGCCAAGCGGGTGGGACTGAACACCGTCGAACTGGAAGATTTGGATGGAACTGGATTGAAAGGATCCTTCGCGGGGCAACGATTGGTCAGGTTTCTAAGCCAGGACCCAGTGGAACAATGGCTTCAGGAGGCCGAAGATAAGGAAACAGAGGAGCCACAAGCTAAAGACTGACCACAGCCTTGCCCACACTATGGTTTGTCTCTGACCATGTTCGTGGGACTGTCATTTTTTTTGGGACTGACGCTTTGGCTTGGACTGACTGACGCTTTGGGACTGACGCTTTGGCTTTGAAAGGCAGCATGACTTGGGGGTTTGCAATATCTGGCTTGTGTGACAACGGGAAGGGATGTACCATAGTTTTTTACGGGAAAAAAATGGGGTCATTACAAACGACGCATTCGCATGTATAAAAGGGGCGTGATGCGAGGGATACTGGGTGCATTTTGGAAATGTCTACTGGCCTAAGGGCGGGAGGGGCGCGAGTGTGTGAGGAACATTGCGGGTGTTGTTTTGTTATACAGGGCTTAGGAGTAAAACGAGAAAAGACAAAAATGGAATTCGGCAACGAGAACGACAGCGGGGCAATCAACAGGCCTACCGGAGGGGAAGAAGCTGGACCAAGCCAAGGGAGGAGGACAGCGAAGAGAAAATTGTACATTGGGCTCATGGGCGGGTCAGTGGTAGGCAGGGGTGGAAGGAAATGCTTGTGTAGGAAACCCTCACCCCTCCGCAAGGGAGAAGGTATAAAAATATCATCTGACAGTGAGGGCGAAAAGGGAAGGGCAAATGTGGAAGAAGGAGGCAACACAGAAATGGGAGATAAGGCTCGGGTCTCTAACGAGGAAGGGGCTAACAGGGGCGAACCATGTGAGACTTGGCATGGGGAAAGCGAGGGGGGACAAGGTATGCGCGAGGAACGTGAGGAGGATGAGGAGAAAAGGGAGAGCCCGCTTGAAGGATGAAGCGGTCACGGCAATTGCGAGGGGTATGGGACAGGGACAAAGATCCCTTTTACCTACGATCCAAAGAACCTTGCTGGTGGGTATAGCCCTATACAGACTGAAGACGAGGGGGACGAGGAGGAGGATGTGCGAGAAGTTATAGAAATCAGCAGCGGGGAGGAGAGGGATGAGATCTCAAGGCCTAGGGAAGAGGGGCGGTCTCCGATGCACCAACCGGGCGATGGGGCTTTCAGATGGGAGGATGAGTTCGGGCCAACGCCCAGTCATTGGTTTCAGCAATGGACCAATGTAATCAGGCACGAATGGATTATCAAGACTCGGGAACTCGCAAGGGCAGGGGTGGAAGCCACACCACAAGATTTTTTTAACGAGGCAGAGTTGCATAAAATTGTAAGGATGAAAAAAGAAATCGAGACCTATGGCCTGGGGGTTAGGAAGCCTGCCGAGGAACGGGGTGGACAAGGAACTGGGCAAGACGAGGCGCAAGGCAGCAATAGGAACTAGGTGTTGACTTAGCATTGAAAAGGATCATTGCTTTATCCGTCTGCAGAGACATGAGAATGACGAGAACTTGTATAGTATGGGCAAGCTTGCAAAGGATGAGTGACGGAAGGGTCAGCTAATGTCAGGGTTGTCGACCCCCGTCCCCGGTCCGGGGTTCCGGGGGTCGGCACCCGGGACCCCGGCCCCCTGTATGGGAAAAAAAAAAAAAAAAAAAAA